GTGTAAACAGAGATGTTATCTTGTAGACAACACTCATCAGAAAAACTGCTTTGGCGATTCTACAAAGAAAATTAAAGTTTTATTTGAAAAAAAAAAGCCCTGATAAAGGTTGGAAACCAATTATATGAGTCGGCAAACTCTTCTATACCACTGAAATCATTTCCTGAAACAAAGAATTGACACCATCTTGACTTTTAGTTTCGATAAGAGAAAAAGATTTTAAGTTTTTTTTTCTATGGCAACCACGTGAATATGATGATCAAAGGTCTCACACGAAATTTAAGAAGACTGTGAAAGACTGACAATGTGGAAGATCGCCTTCTGTCATTCTCCAGCATTCAGAGCCATATATCAGGGTGGATAGGACACTGGCTCTGCTGCTGGGACCTCCATACATAGTTGAGCATTCTGACTACATTAATGGCGTTCACTAAGCGGTTCTTGATGTCCTTGTTTGCTCTTCCATCATGTCTGACTGTGTTGCCCTGGTACGTGAATTCCCCCGTCGTTGGAAGATCCTCTCTGTTCGCTCTGATCAGCTGGGGGTTAGGGACATTCAGAATCATAACTTCCGTCTTGTTTTAGCCGATCTACAGGCAAATCTGTTTAACAAGGCCACAGAGACGGGATGTTTTCTCTTGCTTATGATGATAGGTGTGAGATAGCAGCGCCTGGTCATCAGCAAAGTCGAGGTCCTCGTATGCAGAGAATAATGTCTATCGGATGCCTCTGGTCTGGTCTTCAGTTGTTCGCTGCAGCACCCAGACAATCGCTATGTTGAAGAAGAGTACTGACATCACACACCCTTACCTCACTCCAATTGTCACTCTAAAGCTGAGTGTTCTTACTTCTGCTCGTTAAATTGTCGTAAACGCTCTTATTGACAAGAAATAGGTAAGTAAACATATAATACAAGACAACCAACCTCTATCAGGGAACACCACGAAGACATCACAAAGTCTTTATTTAGATCAATCAGCGAGAATCAGGACAGTAAACTACATCAC